ACGACACACTGCTTTTGCATGAAAACTGTGGAAGTTTTTCTTGACAACGATTAATTTGCCTATCGATTAAACGACCGTAATACCCACCAAACTGAAGACCAGAATTTGCACTGACAATAATAATGTTGTTCCCCATTTAATGCAACCTAAGCGAAATTATGAATTTTCGAAAGCTATAAGTTGCCTCTATTTTAGTTTATACGCCCGGCGAGATGTATTATATTACCGAGTGATATTCCACCGAAGCTTACGTCAGTTGCAAAGTTATTGAAACTTGAAATCAACAATTCCCACCTCGTTCCTCTTCCTCTCGATAAAAAAGCGAAATCAAGCTCAATTTGTTGTTGCGCTAAACCGATAGCATGTCGCAAATTTAATTTACTCAAGTCAGTTGAAAATGCAAAGCAAGACGATTTGTTGCACACTGAATAATTCGCGTTTCTTCATATTATTCCTTTGTCTTGAGCCCTACCAGGAATGAATCCTACGGCTCTTGGGAATTTGCATATACGTTTCACTCGATTGTCGTCATTGGGGATCATCGACGATTGCATTTGTGCAACAATGAGTTTCAAGAAAGAATTCATCATTGAAACTTATTAATGCCGGACTTTTTAAAGTGAATAGAATTATGAAGATATGATAGCAAGCATATTGAGCGGACTTGAGTTTATTGAATAGTAATGATCACAGTCAAAATGAATGAAAACACATACGAATAATCAATTGTATCAACGTTCTTGAAAACTAACTCAATATGGCAACAGTACCAATATGACACTGGGTTACGTAAATTGAAACGCAAAACTGCAATGGCACAACTTAACCACACTGAGTAATGACAATTAACGTGCTTACTGATTCAAAAATTACGATGAGTTCTTTAACGAATAAAACAACATCGAAGTTTCATTAAGAATGTTAGACATGAACAATTTAGTGATCAAGAAGGAATAAAACGCTACTATTCCATTGTAAACCGTTCCAAAAAGCAATTTTGAACAAAACTAATTTCTAAGAAAGCTGTGTGATGCGTGAAACAAAACAAGCGTCATGATGAACCAGTATGAACGATAGTTAACACCAATTAGAGGCCTCACTATTTTCAGAACGCGATTCTGTTGAGAACATCAAAAATGGGCGAGCCTTTAGGGCACCAACAATATTTGAACGAACATAAAAAGAAACAAAAAAGTTGCATATATCAGATCTCATTTATGCTCGCACGGCAAAAACACGTACTTTCAATGGAAAAATGTATCAGTTCAATCATCTCAATCCTACTGGCTAATTAACGGATGGAAATATGAAAATACTTCTACTCTTTATTCATTTCACTAACTGAGAATTTAATGAAATACAAAATGAACGAAACGGGTTGATTTCTGTTCCGGAAGCGATACGCTCGAGCATTCTTGATGGAATGATCTCGAATCATATCAAAATTTCGATTCAACGGTGCAAAAATTCGTGATGTTGGTCAATAAAATGAAGGAAAAAAGGCAGCCGTAACAGAAGGATACCAGAATGAATCAATCAAACATATGTCGACGGTACATCGATTACATACAAGAATCCATCATTTTCTCGAGAGCTCTTGCATCCGCAGCAAACTTTCGAATACCTTCAGATAACTTGTCGTTTGCCATCGTATTCTCGTTCATCTCGAAACGGAATTTCGCTTCAGGTACGGTGATGCGCTCGAGGTCACACTTAGAAGCTGGAAATATTGTTTCACATAGTGTCAGCGCCGAAATCTTCGCTCACCAAAATGATCCAACACAAACAAACGAATAACGAAAACGAGCAAATAGAAAGAAAAACCACTAAAAATGTTACCATTTTCAGCACTCAAAACGACGGGAATTGTTTCTTTGTCTTCCGAGAGCTGTTTCAACAGAGATGGACTGCAAATGAGAATTCTTTATTCACTAACGAGCACGGTTCACTAGAATACTCTCAACTCCTTTCAATGATCCTCATCAACAACAAGCAACGCGATAAAATGCGACTGAACAATATACCTGATCGTCAGGAGGTCACAACCGTTAAGACCCTTAATTTCTTCGGTATTCCTGAACGATGCGGCCATCACTTGAGTTTTATATCCGTATTTCTTGTAATAGTTGTAGATTTTTGTTACACTCTGAATAATAATTATATTTCTTTTTGTGGTTTATGGTTCAAATATTTTCAACAATCCCATAGTTAGGTGCATTAATTATCTGTCAGTACCATCAATTGATAAAATTTCTCCGTTCGTACTGTTAAGACGGAAAGTGAATGACAACAGAACCACTCAAAACCACCATCTAAAAACGAACCAAAACACCCGGATCGGTATGCCGATCAAATAATTTTTTGTCAGTATGTTGTACGTTCCAGTCAAGAATACGGCCAACAAACGGCGAAATCAGTGTGACTCCAGCCTCTGCGCACGCAACTGCTTGATAGAAATCAAATAACAACGTCATATTGCAATGTACACCATGCTGGCTCTCCAACACCCTGAATATTATTATTATAAATTCTCAAGTCACCTTATTTATCATAAGTACGTATCTTTCAAACTCATCGGAGTAAAAAAGTTCGATCCAGTCATTACCTATAAAAACAAATAAAACAATTGTTTAAGCGAAGAGATGTCAAATTAAAAAAAACCGAAAATATGAAAAATGAATTCAAAACACTAACCTCGCAGCTTGGATACCTTCCCATGTCGACGATAATTTGATAAGAATTCGATCCTTGCTGATTCCTTCCTCTTCATAGCGTTTGATAAGTTGAAGTGCTTTTGTGATTTGTGCATCTTTATCGAATGAGAGTCTTCAAAAAAACACGAGATGCAACTGATCTATGTGCACTAATTAATCAATGATAATGTTCATTGTTTTCGCATCAAATGAAAGCAGCACTTTCATAAATGCACGTAAATGCATAACCAGCGTGCTGTGTTCTTCTATTGTATGGCGCAGTGAACACGAGAATAACGAATGAATCCGTTGTGGCTGATGGCATGGCCCGGATTTTTTTCAATGGGGAAGGGGCAAAATAGTTCCGCCTAAAAATAGTCCTTATGGCGGGCATATCACTATCCTTATGGCATATCACGTATCATTTTTTCTTTTATGCCATAAGAAATGCCATTAATCGGTACAATTAAAAAGTTTTGAAGTGTTTTTTGCTCACAATCAGCAATTTTGAAGCGCAACGAAGGAGATTGTAACTAACTGAATCGATGCACTAAACTGCTCAATGCTCAAAAAGAGATAAAAAATCGTTTACAATCACGATGTGATAACGAATGATCGCATACAAATGAGATCTAATCAAATGATAAACTGAATTACACTATGAAAAAGACCACTTTTTACGATCACAAACCAAACGAATACGTGACTACTTCTAAACCCCATTTTTTCGTCTTCTGTTGCTTTCGAAACAAACAAGACAAATAGCGTAGCAGAAGAGTTCATCATTGCTCGACTTATAAACAAGAGCATTAATCAAACAATACCTTGCATCCACTTCAGTTGATACTCGACCCGGAATGATTGTCAGAATTTGTTTTCCAAATAATACAAATAATTTCTCCATAGCGATCGTCCTGATCTGTATCGAATGTGTATTTTCATTATTAACGTTCACAGTGAAACGAAAAACGAATGCAAATGGGCAGAAGACAAGACGATCGATTGCTAAATGGTTCCTGGAGAGTCTGATAACAGTATCATTATATGCTTTAGATGAAGTCCACCTTTTCGAATATTCCTTATTTCATGGTCTTGTGGAAATATGAACATGACCACATGAATACCACCGCATCTCTCCTCGAAAAAGTTGTCATCTCAATCAGAAACGCGAACCTGATCTCGATCAGTGGCATGCTTCTTGGCGTATTCAATTGCTTCAGTCAGGAAGTGCTTGTAGGCATCCATCTTCGTAGCGGCAAGCAGCAAAGAAGGATTCGTGGTTGCATCAGTCGGATGAAATTCTTCCATTGCTTAAAACATACAAATGAAAAACACATTGCTATCATCTATCCTTGCATTACATGTAACCTTTTCATTGTGTTATTTTACATCTGCTCCTGCACTTCGTCAATCTTTTGCAACAATCTTTTCACTTCAACATGAAATTTTTCAATAAACTACATAAATTTCGGCTGCTGCATGTTAAGTGAACAATAAACTAAAGTGTTAACATGTTCATATTCCCACAACAGCATGAAATGTTCACTGAACAAGAGACGTAAAACATCGAAACGAAGTTCCTAGTGTAAAATAACAATTCGCTTTGAAAGAATTTTGTTAACTTCAAAGAACAGCTCCAGAATGCCTATCAAAACTTTACCATTCAAAATCAGACTGAAGCAAAAGACGGTAGTGCTTTTACGGCTTTAGATAAACTTTATCGAGTTTTGTACATGCTACTTGAGGTTTTATTAATTTTCGTTATTTACCAACACTGTCAGGACGGATAATAATGCTGTAGACTGAATCAAATCTCACTGCATAATTAACGATAATTTTCTTCAGAAGTCATTCGAAATTGCACATCAAAATGCCGTTCAACTCAAAACATCACGTCTACACTGCAAACAAAATCAGTCGATTGATGAACCTTTAAAATCGCCGGTGTCCGCGACCACAGTGGTCACTTTTTTAATTTGATCCAATACGCTCGCCATTTTTGAATCACCTAAAATATTTGAAAATTTTATTCAATGATCACTTTTAACATCCACTATTTCCGATTCAACGCATTAGATATTTTCATCAGCCGANNGAGTAGTCAAATGAACGGGAGAGTCTAGAGAAAGAAGAATCGAACGACACCTATCCACGTAAACTTTGTATTGCAATCCACCTATGTGTTCAGATGCTCAAAAATGCTGCACGCGCAATTAATGAATCGCATAAAGACGGATCAGAAAGACTCTGTTAATCAAAAAACACAGCCTCACCACGCGTACAAATGAAATTCAAAAAACACTGGCTTGTGGAACGCTTCAAATCATCAAAAATCAGCCAACCGTGTAGCATCGAACGGCGTATTGCACACTCAGCTCAACGATACACACATGAGTATAAGGCGTTTCATTCAACGAGCAGTGTGTTTTGTTGATAAGGGCGGAGTTTGCGGTGGAACACAGAGAACGTTATCAAAATCGACTCAATCACAAATCACAAAGATTAATGAGCAAGACAAACCAGAATTTCACGAACTGTAACAGTCAGTGGATTGCTATCAATAATTGAAAGTCAGAAGCAGTTTTGATATGAATCAAACATAATTCACGAGCATTACGAGTTCTTCCATTCGTTGCGTAAAATGTAACAAACAAATGATGAAAAACACTTTCGAGACCTTACAAATAATAACGCAGAATGATCGATGCTAAAATTGGGACAAAAAAGTCAACATAAAAATAAAACTAAACGACTAATGTGTGATACTAATAAGTATGATTGGTATCTTACCTCCAAATGCGCATGATTATTACTCATTGATACACCTGAATGTACTGAAGTAACTTCATGATGTATTTGTCGCAATGATAAGAATGTACGCTTAATTTTACACGCTTTAATTTTACTCCGGTAATCTTGCTGTTTAGGTCGAGGAGAAATGAGGTGTATGAACAACA